TGGAATGACACAAAAGCAATCCATAAACATTCTCTGTGTGCATTGGGAACAGCAATGGAAAAAACATTTGGGATCAAATTAGATGAGGTCTCTACTGTGCTCCTCTACAGAAAGTACACAGCAACATGGAAGCAAAATGCACAGATCACTGACTTACATCCATTCCTTTTCTAACTGCTTTATCCAAGTCAGAGCCACGGGCACGCTACCTCAGCAAGCAATGGACACAAGGCACAACACACCCTGGCCAGGATGCCAGTCCACACACAGACACACTCTCGCACCAGGGACAGTTTAACTAAAAGGCAGTTATTCTACCGGTATGTCTTTGGACTGTGTGGAGAAACCAGAGCACCCAGAGGAAACCCATGTGAATACAGGGAGAACTTACAAACTCCACACAAGCAGACCCCTAGGAATGGAACCCAAGCCCCCAGCGCTGCAAGGCTGCCATACTAATCACTGTGTCGCCATGTTGCCCAGTATTTTAATCCATATGAACAAGGTGTGAACACACAAACTCCACGCAGATGGAACACCAGGACTGGAATTGAACCACTGTGCCACTGTGCCACCAAATCAAAGGCTTTGTTATATATTTTCATATATACAGTACATACACAGTAGTCCATTGGGAAAGAATTGAATTGCAGAGTGCTCTCTAGTGGCTCACATGCTAAAGAAGAGCTCCTGGGGCACAAGGTGAGGTCTGTGGCTCAGACATCACCAATTCAAGTCCCGGTCATGTCACTAGCCAGCTGGGACCCAAGCATAGTGTGCTAGTAGCTGGGTGGAACGGCCAGGTTTCTCTAAGCACTGGAGAAACTATCCATTGAGGCATCAGGCATGTTGTATTGTCAAGGGTGTAATGTATCAGATGAAGCCGATCATGCATTGCAAGAGGTACTCAAACTGTCCACATTCGTTTCTTGTTTTTGCACTAAAGATGCGATGAAGAAAATGTACACTTATCTCCTCTTGTTCACAGACTGATATCAGTAAACGATCGTTGAAAGAGTTAGGACAGCATTTCAAAATATTAAGAAGGAACACCTATAAATAATTTTGCTAATAGTCTTTTTGAGTGTAGTCTAAAATATAGTCTCTAAAAAGTTTTAGTTTTATCACAACCAACTTGTGGTATATGTACAAGCTTATGCATTTATTTAGGAATGAATAAGGTGCTTTTAAACATTCACTATTAAGTAATGGGCAGATCTAAAAATGCTGTTCAGGCAATCTGGGAGTTTCCAATAAATGACAAGCAACTTGTATTAACACTGTGGGCCTCTATTAAGAGTGATAGTGACATAAGCTAGAGCATTTGAAATATAGGGTGAATTAGGACACGGTCGTCTGTCGATATCAGGCTTCCTATGTTACACTAGAACTCGTGCAGAAGAGAACAGAAATCAGATCATGGAGGCAGCACTGTGAGAATATTACTATAGATCTTCGCACTTAAGAGCACTGCATGTCTCCTTGTAGCTGACACTTCTGTCAGTGTAAACCCACAATGATGTCAATGTGTGCAAAACCAGAATCCTCTTTCGGAAAACGAAGCGGTCTCTTTGTAAATTTTATTATTTCAATCTGACAAACTCTTTGTTTTTTTTGTAGGCCAGAGGATGTTTTCCACATCCTGCAGCGTTGATGTTAGAGAGGAAGGCATGAGTTTAAGGCAGTTTTTTATTCAGCCCAGACGGGATGCCTAAGTGGGTCTGACTGTGAGAGACAAGATTACTGCTCTGGGTTCCCTCCCTTTTCAATCTACCGAGCCCGATTCTCAAAATGTCAATAGTGGTGCTCCCTGGAGTTCAGCCCAGGTGCAGGCAACATGTTCCAAAATACAAATCATCAGCCTTGTGAATCTTTAGAATTTTACATATGGACACCAAAAATGTGAAAAACACAGAAGGTGGCTTGGGCAGCATGGTGGTGCTGTAGTGAGCATTTCCCATGCAAACATGGGGAGAACACTCAAACTCCATGCAGATAGCACCCCAGGTCCAGATCTGAACCCCTGTGTTCATGTGGGTTTCCTCCTGGGGCTCCAGTTTTCTTCCACAGTCCAAAGACATGCTGGTAGGTCAACTGGCTTCTGGGAAAACTGTCCCTGATGTGAGTGTGTGTGTCTGTGTGTGCCCTTTAATGGATTGGCGTCCGGTCCAGAAAGACCTGCCTTGTGCCTGGTGCTTGCTGGGATAGGCTCTGGCTCCCCAAAACTTTGTATTGGATGAAGTGGTCAGAAGATAAATTGATGAAATGTGGCTTTGCAATGATATTCAAAAAGGCAAATACAGTGAGCGAATTGCTGTGGATGATGTTCAGCCTACCACTAAGGAAAGAAAACAGTCATATTAACAATCATTTTTTATTGTATTTTTTTTCCCCAGCATGCTAAACATAGGCTTACTCCTTTCACACAACATATCAAAACTTCGGCATGAGATTGGAATGCATAAGACCTTAATACCAGAACTGCATGAACCAATCTCTTATTAGAACAATAAAACAATTAGTAAGAGCTTGCACTCTGGATTTTGTGCCATTTGCCCGATTACAAATCCACAATGAAATGAAAATCCCTACTTCAAAAAGAGTTTAGCACATGGTGAGAAGCCAGAAATAAAAACTCATGTGAAGAATTCCATTCCAGTCTTGCTAGAATTGTGTTGGGTTTGCGAATGGCTTATCACCACTATTGGGGTCACTCATGACAGTACATTTAGTCAGCTCTAAGTAATACCCATCAGCTTTCCAGTCAAGGGTGCAACAAATTCTACCATGTCATTTTATTGTTTGAAATTTAACAAATTTATATGAACATTGATTCTGGCTTTCTTCCAACCCTCATGTGAGAATAGAACTATCCTTAGTGATTTTAACATTTTAACTAACTTCATGGTGATATACAAAGCAAATTACTCCTAAGCCCAATTTTCCAACCCTAACTCCTAGGGGTGAAGAGGTCATTATGGGGTTCCCTTTGTCTTGCATCATTGAAGAGACTTTTTAAACACACAGCCCTTGGTCCAAGTATTTACCCTGTTACCTCCTTCCTCACAAGTCCACACTAGCAACCCCCTCCCACTTTCCATATGTTGAACCCATCATCACAGATCCCATCACTGATCTTCGAAGACCACATTCATGCCATTTGGCTAAGTCATCACCCAAAGGACTGCCTGTGCTCATACCAGGGAAGTCTGGAATATTGGAACTAATTCATCTTTAGAATATAGCAATGAGCTTTCAATGACCAAGGCTGGAGACCTTTTTTTACAGCACCCTTCACTACTGGCTGGTGTGATGTCCATCTTCATCTTGTAATGTAATCATCAGCAGTTAGTGCTGCACCATGGCCACCGAGATGTGCCATGACAAATTCACGACACTTTGTGTAGCAGGAGTTCTGGAGGACAGTCTGATGGCCACAGTGAAGGATATTTGCTCCTGTGGTGCTACAAAGCCACACTTTCTTTCAGCAGCAAGACTCGCTGACTGCCCTTACCCATTTTTAATTGAATTTAAACCTTCTCGCATGACAGGTCAATAATCTTTATATTGTTTCACTTCAGTAACTGAATTCTCTTTTAAAATATTGAAAGCAAGGACAGGATCTATTTTCAAAGTGGTGCCATTCTAAAAGTGTCAAAGAATTAGCCTAGATTGATATTTACATACTCAATTATATACAGTATATGCTGGAGGACTGGCTTTTGTCATTTCTGCTTGATTTGTACCCCCTCATTCACTGCAAGCCTATTCCAATAAAGAGTTTCATATAAAATGATTTTGAAAACGTTTGTAAGGACAGAACAAACAGTAAGGTAAAGAATCCAATCAGAAATTACTACTGGCATTTAGTCCAAATTAATATCTCTCTAAAATTATATATTCTGTTATAAAGACCAAGAAACATGAAATCAACAAAGTGTTACTCATGCATCTCCTTAGATAGGCAGTTCTCATACTAGAAATATTTAAAAAAATTATTGCTTGTTTTTTCCAAACATACAAGTGCATGCAAATCAAAGGCATGTTCTCCAAAAAACGTACTTATCCTCATTTCATTTATTTATCTATCACATTACGGCAGAATTAATCACATTTAAAATATCAAAGAAGTAACAACAAGAAATGTCCCCTTATCTTAATCTGAGCATTTCAACTTTCTCTGGGGTCGAATCTGAATTTAAGGAACCAGTCGTCTCCTCCGAGTCGACAAAACCTTTTCTAATTCAGAAACAGTTTCCATACTTCAGATGGTCTCCCAACATTTCCTCTTCAGGTCTTCCCTGCAGCTAATGAGCTTTTTGACCACTGGTTCTTTAAATTCAAAACAACGTGAAGCCTGCCAAAAGATGCAGCGATGCTTCCCAATTGCTAAAACCACTGGCACAACAGCAAGAAAATCCGAATTCTCAAATCTGAAGCAAATCTACATTCCCTTTAAATTTGAATGAAAACAGGAATGCTTCAATAAAATGCTTCACCAATTTGTCTAGTATTTGGACCATAAAACCTTTACGATATGGATCTGCAGGGAATGTCAAAACTGCATGATCAATCATCAGGCTTAGGCAATTGATTATCTAGGCCTGAGTTTAAATGGAACATGCTTTGAGACCCAGAGTTGTACAGTAATTGTATTAATACCTGCTGGGGAATGACTTCTTACCCTCTTCACCACAGCTCTGTACACCACCTGAGTCACACCTGAGGAAGGCCAGGCAGAGAAAAGTGGTCCAGCTACGTCATGGGACCGATAGACCAAGGCACTTATATGCATGATGACCAGATACAGAAATCTACTGTTGGCAGTGGTGGACACATCTAAGTAAGCGCACTCATGAAACACCTGCCTACCACATGAGAGTACTAAATGCCTTTGTTTTTACTGGCCGGCACCTACAATATGAACGGGTTCCTAATAATACAAATGGAATGCCCAAGCATAATCCGGGATCATGCATGTGAAGAACATTTAAAAAAAAAAAAGTTGAAAAGGAAAATGCAATTTGGAACATGCTTCCCCCAGAAAAAAGTTGTGCATTTTCGAAATTTATACATTTATATACAGATAGCGTACGTGTATTTACCAGTCTAATAAATCCCTGTAAATCCATTTGAAAAATCCTTATGCAGAAGGAGAGGAAGAGAGGGCGTGGGCCCCAGGGTGCTCGGTATCACAAGTCTGAAGAGGTGGTGGAGATCTGTGCCAGTCGGGGGTCAGACTCGATCTCGTACCGATAATGGTACCCCTCCATGAGTTCCCGGCAGGCGTCCCTAGTTTCGTAGATCCACTTTTTGATCCCTTTCCGGTTGAGGTAGAGGACGAAGAGGAAGATGACCCCCACGATGCCCAGCACGATGCCGAGGAAGACGTAGGAGGTCTGCAGGGCCAGGTCGGCGCCCTTGCTGGCGTGGCACTCCAATGCCAGCTCCCCCAGGCTCAGGAGGGACACGTTGTGGAGCTCCCTGGGGTCCACGCACACCAGCCTGTCCGCGTCCGGCACCCCGCTGGTGGAGTTGAGCCAGCGGGCGAAGTCCTCGACGTCGCAGTTGCACACGAAGGGGTTGTCCCTGAGCAGGATCTGGGCCTGCCTCTGTCCCCCCAGCTCCCGCAGGCTGTCCTCCTTGAAGGTCTTGAAGGCGTTCAGGCTGAGGTCCAGCTTGCGCAGGTCCAGGCCCAGGAACGTGGAGTCCATGATGGCCACCAGGGAGTTGTTGCTCAGGTCCAGCTGCTGCAGGCCCGACAGGTTGGCGAACATGCCCGGCGGCAGGAAGATCAGCCCGTTGTCGGACAGGTCCAGCCGGAGTAGCCGCCCCAGGCCCCGGCCCCCCCCCAGCCGCAGGGAGGAGGCCAGCGGGGTGACGGCCGAGTGGTTGTAGAGAGCCTGGCTGAGATCCAGCTCCTGCAGGGAGCTGTTCTCCAGGAGGAAGGCTTCGGGGTGGATGCCGGAGAGCTGGTTGGTGCTGAGGTCCAGGGACCGCAGGCTGCGGAGGCCGGCAAACGCCCGCGACTCCACCGTGTTGATCCTGCGACGGGGAAAGAGGTTACACAGAGCGGGCGACCGCGACGCCGAGCAGTCCAGACTCGATGTTTCTTCACAGCTGCCCCGCATTCCGCCCCCATTACGGTACGGTAATACTCTATCATCCGATTCCTCTGAGGTTTATTTGAACCCAAGCAGCTATGTTTTACAAACACAGAGACTTACAAAAAAACAAACGGTCTATATAAACATTACATTCAAAATAAGTATAAAGTCACATAAAAGATCTCAACCCGTGCACAGTAATTACAGGTATTCCAGAATGTGAAAGTTGATTTCCCCAAACATTCACCCAAAGCCCCTATAATTGCACAATACCTTTCATTTTTGCACATAACCACTAATTGCACATGCCCATAAACCAATTCTTCTTTATTCTAAACTCATCCAGCCTGTTAGTCTTTATGGGCAGCTGTTTGTTGGGAGTTTTCAAACTGGTTCTTCAAAATTGACTATATTCTAGATCTCTTGATGAAACTCCTTATCATTTTAATAAATTAATAATACGTTGTCCATGATAATGCAATGGAAGAGGGTAAACCATTTTCCTGGAAACTATGTGTTGAATCTTTAATATTAATATACACTAATTGAGTCAAAAATAAAGTCTTGGTAATATATGAGGAAATAGGGTCAACGTTTCAAATATGACAAAGCTTTTTACCTTTAAGTGACTGAGATGTGTTTTAATACAACGTGCTGGATTTACAGAGATGTATTACAAATAGTGTGTACATTGACAAATCGTTCGTAAGATGTTCCAAAGCAATTGGCGTTTTGCGTCATAACTGGATAACAGAGCATTTTTTAAATGGATAACGAGAATTTTTTTTTTTGATGGAGAAATTTGATCGTGTTCTCTAATGGAAGTGAACTTCTATTATACCCGCAAGATGTAAAGGACAAGCATGTAACAGATCATCATACTCCTGGTTAAACCGGCTGTCGATCAAAGCACTCTGGTCGCGTAAAAAGAGGTGACAGAACGGGTGATAAAAGAACCTCTTCTTGTAGGGCGCAGCACATTTTAAATCTGCAATTCAAATTGTTCAAAAGGCGGTTCTTCACAAAATCATTTTGAGTATAAACGTTTTTGAGTATGACATTTAGATAACTTTTAAAAAATCAGCAACATTCACAACTTACAAACTGTTTCCACTTAACGTCAAACGCAGCAAATCGACGTTTAAAATTAAGGTTAGAGACCAGAGCATTGGGTGATGCTTTAGGGAAGGTAGATTATAGATTACATCTGCATGCCACTGACACAATGTTATTTTTGCATATATACATGTAAGGCTATTTTCAAGTTGTTTTTTTTTTAATTCTCGGTAAAGAGGAAAGATATGAAAAGGGGTGATACAAATAGAATAATAAAAGACGTTCTGACCAATTTTATGACCTCCAATTCTGCCGATTGTGACACTCCGATCTTTGAAGCAAATTATTGCCACACAGGTGTCGATTTCTGAACTTATCTGTGGCTCAAAATTAAATTTTGGGTGGTGACGTCTGCTGCGCCAAACGAAGCAGGCTGTGCTATTCAGCACACCGGTCGAAACAAGCACATGGGGAATGAAGCCGTAAAGCCGTTATTTCAATGCATGGGAACACGTAAAGATTCATTCCGTGCTGACAGGCAAGGGAAAAGAGACACTGATTTTCGGCTGTGGAGTCCGAATGCCTGGCCTTACCTGTTGTTACTCAAAGACAGCGTGGTGACGTTTTCCAGCCCCTGAAACGACTTCGGCCCGATTCGTCTGATCTGGTTCCCCGTGATGAAGAGGTTCCTCGTGTACCCCGGGATGCCCGCGGGAATGTCTTTCAGGTCTTTCAAGACGCATTTCACCGTCCTGGCCGCCTCCGAGCACTCGCACGGGAAAGGACAGGCGCCGCACAGCCCCGGCGAGAGCAGCAGCGCGCACAGGCTCACTCGGACGACGGCGCTGAACATTTTGAACGGAACACACACACACACCAAAAAAAAAAAACCCTAACAACAACCACTAATTGAGAATAAAAAAATAAATAAAACCTGTTACTTTCTTCGGTAAAAGTAGTTGTCTGTGGGTAGATTTAAGCAAAACCACAAAAAAAAAGAACCAGAAAAAAGTAACGGAAATTAAACGTTTTTGAGGTCTTTTCAATGCGGCTCCTGAAACTAGCTTCTCATGTTCTTTAATTTGAAATACCCCCGCCCGCCGCTGAGCAAACTGGGTCCGAGCGCGCTGCTGTTGCGCCCGACTCCGGACGCGCTTAATACAGCGAAATATATTTTTTTAAAAGCTTAGCTCCTGGTCAGAAAGTAACAGCGAGAGGAGATTGCGGGTCTGCTTCGGTTTCCGCGGTGAAACTTGTCTCAGAACTCGTCCCCTGCGCTGCGTGCCGTCTGGAGTGCTGGTCTGGCGGACGCCTTTTGCATCTCAGAGGCTCTTGTGTGTGAACTGCTCAGCCTGATTTCCATGTGAAAGCAGCGAGCTGGCCACCTCAGTGTTTGATGCTCACGGTGGTTGGTGCGGAGATCTCTCTCAAACAATGGGATTAAACACAACCCTCACAATCACAGCGGCGGGAAATAACGGGGGAGGGGCAGTGGACACCAGGGGTACCATCTTTCTTAAAGACACACTGTAGCTGACACGGGAGGGCTTGGAATCGCCCTGTTGCGAAAATCGCACGACCGCTCGACTTTACCACTCCGTTGTCTAGCTGTTTGAAGATTAAAAATAAGAAGTAGTCAGTTTAGGCGTGAAATCAGACCTTCCACTTCAACGATAAATATCGTTTTATACCCTTTGATTCGAAAAGTAGGAACGTTTATGCATTATACTGCACCATAAAGCTGGTTGTCCCCATACTGATGATAAAAAGCATTATGAAAGGTCTTTGAAAGTGCTACCTTATGTCAAATTGTGCTTTTATGCGTTCGATAATACACATTTACACCACAAAATGATTCGTTGGACAATTGCCGAATACAGGACTGATTTGAAAAAAGCAGCAGAGCTGTTCTTGGCTCCTGGCACCGTCGTTTGGAGAACCGTGCTCATGTGTGTGACACGATGGGACTGATTCATTCCACGCTGTGTTTTAAATCACGAGCAGTCAGCTGCGATTGTTTTAAATAGTTGATGTCCGTCCAAGTCGCTCGCCGTGTCAGTTAAGCATCCTATCTGAACTCTGAATGAATTCGCACTTTGATTTCGCGATCCCGCCCGGACCAAGCGAGACGGACTCAAACGGACGCAGCCCATCGCCCAGAGGCATCACGGCAGTTGCGCCAGTCACACGTAACGATACGGGTTAGATGTTATAACGAGATGACCCCAAAACTGCTTTTTAAGATATCACGTGGTGTCTACAGTTTACTGCCAGATTGAGACAAGTGCCCAGCATAGCCCGAAACGTGCCTGGAAGCTAAACGTTTCGCTTCAATCCTACGCAAAACACGCAAATAACTCTGGAGCAGATTGCGCTCTGCGTGGCGGGGACGAGAATAGTGACAGGACGCGGTCTGGAACCCTCAGGGACCAGCCGGCTCTCGGATGCAGACTGTCCCATGCTGGCCCGGTTCGGGGTCTCATTACAGAACCGGCACTTGAAGAGGTGCTTCTGACCTGGACCTGGCATGTAGCCGAGCAACTAGCTGATTTAACTCCTCAAGACCCGATTGTTATTATTATTATTATATTATTATTATTATTATTATTATTATTATTATTATTATTATTCCGAGATGATCGGATTGCTTGCACGAGGATCAGGTACTGCTACGGTTGTCAACTGGCTCCAGATCAGCTTTCAGAAAAGAGCGGGCCTTTGCCCTGAGCAGCTAAACTTAAAATGCATCAACACCTAAACTGAAAATGTATTGTCTGCCAGCTGGAACTTGTTACTTAATTATCACTAGCCGTCACTGAAATCAGTCAGTGAGGGCGGATCTGAAAGCATGCGAGCTGTAATGGAACAAGTCATAAAGCCCAAACTTATAATTAAGGAAAAGGTCTTTATCGGTTTTATTACAGTAAGTCTAACGTATCGTTATGTGGGAAAAAAAACGATGCTGAATATTCAGTATTTGCATTACTTCCTTTGTTTTATTGTTGTCATTTTAGAGTTCCCATATTATGAATAGTTTTAATGAATGCTTCGACTTAATTCAGAAAACACTTCGCTAGAAGTCAGTAGCAGAGATGGGATACTCAGACCACCGGATTACAGGAACCTCCGGCAGACGCAGAATAAAATCATTCTGATTCCGTCACTTTGCTTAATCGGAGAGGTCAACGTGCGGCGCTTCTGATCTCGAAGTGTGCGGCTCATCTGGGCCGAGCCGGCAGCCTGGGGAGCTGTCTGGCGGCGCCTCTCCGCCGGAGACGAGGGGTGACACGATGACAAACGACGCGAGGGAACCGCTCGCGCCAAAAACGTCATCGAGCGGGCCTTGCTCCCGTCTCGAGGGAGAACATCGGGAGTTGCGGTGGCGAAACGGAAAGCCGCAAACTGAAATCTTCAAGGTCCATTAGAGTCGCTATCAATTTCATTTTCCATCTGCGTCGTTTATTAGGCCATTTGCCGACCATGATATCGTTTTCCACCCGGCCAGAAGTGCGCGCCGCTGGTGCAGAGGTTTTCCCCTCGTGTGCAAAATTGCTGTACACAGAGCAACTTCATTTCGGCAAAACCTCCACTACAGCAAAGGCTTCTTAAAACTGAGGGAGAAGAGGTCCACAAGAAACCCGTGACAAAAACATATTCTGATCAGTGCACGATTTTGCATTAGAATTTCAATTACAGACAACGGGAGGTCCCTTGTAAGACCGGCTATAAGTACAACATTAAAGACGATATCTGGCAAGAACCTGCAGCCGTTAAGAAATACAAGTCGTTAATTAACGTACAGCTAATTCATTTACCGAAGGCTATTCAGATTTGTTAAATCAATCAGCAGTTTGCGTTTTGGGGGAACAATGCTACTAGCAGTCTGGGATAAATAACTCTGTGCACCTTAAAGTTTGAAATAACATAAACCTCACGCAACAAGTTCGAAACAAGTCCTTTAGTGTTTATTGCTGGTATTGGTGATCGCAAAATACACTCGTGTAACGAAAACGGATTAAGACAAAAACTGAAGTATACAAACACACAGAGGCAGACAGGTGAATGCTCGACTTCCCGGCTAAGATCTATATTAAACGCTTTATTAAACCAGGGTGGTATATTCCAGGAAATGTACAGAGGGTTGAATTGCTCAATTATAGACCAGGCGCACGCACTCTGCCGTGTGTACTGCCGCACTTATCTGTTTCAGTAACTTTCTCTTTGCAGCAAAACACACATTAGGCCCTGGCAAGACTCCCGTCACTGCTCAAACCGCATTCACTCCTGCATCTCGGCGAGGACAGTAGAGACGTCGAGATGAAAGCCGGAGACGACAGCTGGAGACGGTGTCATTTAGAAAATCTCTCGCTGTGCCAATCCATCATTAGAGTTTGATTATTCACCGGCGCTTTGAGGACTGGAGGGAAGACATAATGTCACAGTGCACGCCGGACAAACACAACAACACAACAAACACAAACCCAGGGCACCGCAGCTACAAGAAATTCAACCGAAAAAGTAAAACTTTTCATCCCTGATCTTCAACAGTGTACGGATATCGTGATCCGTGGAACTCCATATAATAATAATAACAATAATAGCGTGTGAGCTATTTTCCTGGATGCCTTTGGATCATTAATTTATATTAATATTCAGTGAGTCGAGACACAGACCTTGGTACCTGGGGAGACTCCTCGGTTTCGTAAAGCTGGAGATGTGGTTTTGCTAAATAAAAACAGAATCTGGTAGTATAAGGGTGCTCTTGTGAAAATAATGATCTGACAGTCTGCGGCTTTGTATCATGATCCCTCTGTAATCCACTGAAAACATCATTATGAGAACTGGTGGATCCACCGGAAGATCATTTAGTCCCATTTAAAATGGGATTTTTGGGGTGCGTGCTGGTTTCTTACTCCGCTCTGGTGTAGGAATTCTTAAGTTTTGAAAGAAGAAAATGTACGTATAGTTAGCGTATTTTGTCAATGACTTCTTGTACCAAGAAACTGTGAGAACGTATTAGTGAGAGCGTCGTCTACTAAAAGTTAGCAAACGGTAGAAGTATTTCATGCTTTCCGATTCAGTAATAAAAATCAGATAAGCACGAAAAGGCGCACTCATTAACACTATGTAAATAACGCACTTTGTCCCCTACAGTATTAGCAATTCAAACACCTTCTGCGTCTTGAATGTTAAAAAAAAATGACAGGAGGCAGTGGTGTCAAGAAAACAGCGGGCGCCCCTTTGAGCTAACAAGTTAACAAACGTTTTGGCGCTCTGCATCTCTTTCATGTTGGCTAACGCGAGGAAAGATCACAGACTGGGCTCCTGCCACGATACTACCTCCTACAGCCCGGTTAAACTCCACCGAGATCGCAAAGAGAATAGGAAATGAATCAAAGCAGACAAGCTTTTGACAGCTACGTGTCAATTATGATAAAGACAGAAAATAGTCTATGGCCTTTCACACAAGTCATATTAAAACTATTCTGCTCCTACCGCGGCTCCCACACAAGAGAGAGAAACCCCAGAAAGATAAGAGAATTCACGATTTTTCCTGACTAGCTATGTGATGACTGTTTACAATTTTCAGTCCTTGTCTCCGATTCTAGATCAAACACTACCGACTTCTTTTTCCAGTTCTTGAAGTATTGAATTATCATGAAACATTGTGAACGTTTTCTGACCAAGAGAATGTAAAAGCAGAACATGAAAAGGTTCGCAGTTACTTTCCAAATGCGAAACGAAGACACGCTAAATAAAATAATGATCAACTGTATGATTTGAGCCGCAACATATTTAGAACTGATACCTATTATTAAACTCCCGTTGCCCGTCAAATTACCATCACTAAAAACACGCTTAAAAAAGGGGCGCACTTCTCAAGTAAACATCTCTATTGACATATGCACAGATCATCAATCTACTGCTCATAAACTATTGCAAAACGGAACCTGGTATCATTTCAGTTCAAGTACAGCAAGGTGAAAAGGGAAAGGTACAATTTCTTACTTGTGCTCATATGATTTAGTTCAGATAGACATGAATACAGAACAACCCAGCACTACCCAGGGTGGAGGTGTCCGAGCTGTAGTCTGATCACTTCAGAGACACGGGTTTCTTGGTGATCTTTAAGGACGGCCTTGTCAGTTTACCGCAGGGTTCTGCATTCCAGCGGCCAGACTCCAGGATCCTGAAGGCCAGTGGTTCTGAATAACGAACACTTGGCTCTTGGAAAAGGATATTATTGGATCTTAAATCAACCTGCCGATATTTCACAGCTCAGCCTTCACAGCCTAAGCGTGAGTCACATCCCCCCCTCACCAGGCGTGCGAGGTACTGTCTCGGGACATCCTGTACGAACGCCATGCTCAGTGACGATTTATTTCCAGCCTGGCAGCAGCTTTCTTACGGTTCATCGTCTAAACAGGAATTTAGGGAAGGACTGCACAGAACTGACTCGATGTACTGGATCAATTTGCAGTAAATTGTATTAACATTTAATGTATTAACATTTATAGGAAACGTTTTACATGACCAGAATAAGATTTTATGATCCTGTATGGTTTGAGCTGAAAATAACTGAAGAAAACTGAACTCAAGACTGAAAAGCTTAAGTACCAGGAAGAGGAAAGGTTTCAATTCCACCAACAACCACCTGTCCCTCAGGCAGTACCCAGCAGAGCCTGGCAGTGTTCAGCCAGTTGAACATGATTACCCAGTCAGGCCTTGAAACAAACGCATTCATAATGATCCAAAATCGGCTATCAATAAAAAAAAGACTGCCTCTTAACAAGCACTGCTCGGCATAAAATCCAAAAAGTATTTTTATAAAGAGGGCTGAATAAACCTAGATCTCATCAGCGCCAGTGTAAATGAATTTCAGTTCAAAACCCCACACCCAGATCTGAACACAGCACAGAAGAGTCACCCTGTAGCAGTGCTTTCTCAAGAAAGCACTTAAAGAGCCCAACACACTCCTAACGCATACATACAAACAGGATACATGCTGTTGAAAAAAAGGAGGCAAAAAGAAGAGGGAGAACTGAGAACTTACTAACTTTCCTCAGTGCAATATATTTAGAAAAACAATACCGGTAGGTTTGCAACCCATGAAACTGAAGTTTGCTCAGGGCGAACAAAGATCCACCTCGGTTCAACCCGATTCAAGCATTCGAAATCCCCAAGGGAGTGGTCAAAGCCTTCCCACTGGACTTCCGCAGAGCCCACAGCCAAACACGAACACAGGAAAATGGGCACTAAAGGGCAGAGCAGAGTGAAACCTCAGAAGAGGAGACCAATTATCTTTGCCACAGAGGGTGGAAAGGATCTAGAAGCTCTTCAGCCATGCTGTTGAAGCCGATATCCTGGCTGCCTTCAGGACAGGGCTAGAAGAGATGAAAGTGCTTTAGCCACTAGCTATCTGCTGACTAGATGAGGTGAAGGGCCTACCCTCATTTGTAACATGCCTTATGTTTTGCGATCTACATGCCAGGAGTCACTACAAAGTCTTGTTTGCTGCTTGGAAATGAAAACCATGACAGATGCGAGCCAGCTTCTCTGACATGAACACCAACACTTGCTGTACAGGGAGTAGTCAAGAATATTCAACTCGCCCAATTACATTCACAATCCTTTATTCATTTCTTACAAAAATAGGAGAATGATCACATCCGCAACAGAGCTATACAAGAAAGCTTATTTAATTTCAACCACCTTATTGTACTTTTTGAGGATCTCAGAACACAGTAGGAAAATGTTACCAAGCGCAACTATATTTTACAGACATCCTCTGTTTCTCTATGCTGCAGGAGTTGTTGCCTTGTACTGCTGCATTGTTGATTGTATTTTACCTCTGCTTCTGCAGGAAGAGTTCTGAGACTTCGATTGTAAAAGAATCCACACAACACCCTCCTACGCGCTATGACACACAGCTAACAACATCTACAGGATCCTGTAGGATACTGGGGGAAGATGCACTCTGCTATCATTACTCACCACTTGAAATATATAGAAACGGGAAGAATTATTTAAAAGATCAGAAAAGCTGTCAAACACCGAGAGGAGTATCTACAATTTAGATTGGGAACATGCAGAGGTTAATTTCACCCTGAAAAGTAAAAAGGAAGAGAAGTGTTTCAGCTGGGAAGCTCTCTTCAGTTCAGATGTACTGATGTTCAGACCCCACAGCCAAAATGACATTTTCCCCTTCATTCTTTTCACTTGTCAGCACAGAGGTAAACGCTGCTTGTTCCTTTATTTTCTGTTTGAATGTACTTCCCACGATCATCTCTAAACCCATTTAAAATGATTTCCTTGAGCCCTCAATTACCACTACAAATGATCAAGACATTAAACATCAGGGGCTCAAAGCCGGCATGGTCACTGTACAAGGAAACGTCAGGGTGCAGACGTCTGCCCAATATGCCCACCAACATGGAAGCACACTAATAAGAATTAGACCATGTTTTATTTAAAATAAATCTTTGAGCGAGATTTATTTTGGAAAGCCTGACATCCCCAATTACACCAATAACATATATTCCTATTACTCTAAAGAATAAAGTAAAATATGCCGTTCTATTAGTTAGACAAGCTCAATTTCCATTGAAACCTGATGATGGTGACTGCACTGCTTCAATCAGTAAATGCATCCCATTAAGCACTTATGCTCACCGGGTAACAGGTGCTCTCCAAAAAAAAGGAAAGATAGGTCTGCTGATCAGACATAAGGTAACACGGGGAAACGACTTCTGTTATCATCATTAGTAGCTTGGTTATTATTGCTCTTTATGCAAACCTAAGTGAATATTAGTGTGGGATTCAAGCGTCAGATTTTTTTAATGGTCAGTGGCCCAAGAAGGAAAATCCAAAATCATTCATTTCAACCCTGAAACAAACGGCACCGAACAGAAAAACACAACATTCGACAGGGCATCTGAAGGTGGAAACAAAGGGAAGGCATTTTCACAACTCCTCCTTAGCGTTTTTTAGGCCATACTTCCAAGGCACTACCTGCTGCTTTCGGTTGCTTGGCAGTGAAAGTGAAGGTCAGCTTTTTGTTCAATTCCACCAACAATGAAGGGATTAAATCTGTCACTGAGACCGCAGTACCTTAGCAACAGGCCTCTTCTCCGACTCCAGTGTGCAAGAACTCGGGGAGTGCCACTTTGGCCAAAGAGCACCACCCCAAAATAAATCCTAGAACATCCTTCAAAAATCTTACATTCACATTTTAAACCTGCTTGCTCTCAACATAACAAAGCATAGTTTTCATCAAGAAGCTTCTTATGCTCTTCTGTTACTAAGTGGGATTAAGAGATTCCCTTTTCTGCAGTTGTGGAACTGAACTGGACTGCTTAGACTATTTTAATTTATTCATCCCTTTTCTAACCACTTCTTCCAGTTCATGGATGTGGGGAGTCGGACCCTGTCCTGGGAAGCAGTGGGCATAAAGGAAGGTACACCCTGGACAGGATGCCAATCCATCACAGGGCAGACACGCACACACACACACTCACACTAGGGCTAATCTTCCTAGGAGCCAATTAACCTACACAGCTACGAAGTTCATGCAGATAGCACCCCAGCTCAGGAATTAAACCCCAGCACTGTGAGGCAGCAATGTCTACCACTGCAAACTGCTGCCCAATTTCAATTTAAGCAATCTTTAAATGCAAATTTGTAAAAAGATACTTGAAAAATGAAGTTTGTGGCAAATGGTGAAGTGTTCTAATAGGTGTACAGGACTCTGACTATACAGCAGGCAGAGACAGGTTATGCATACAGCTTTCCAGGGCTGGAGAGATAAGTGCTGCCAACTGTCTGTTTTGGGTTTGCAGTAGTCTAATTTCAAAACAATGCAGACATTTGCAAAATGCAATATATTCAAAGGCTTGTAAGTGCAGAGCCAGCTTTATGAAATGGGAAGTTCTTTTTTTGCGTGTGTTCCAGAACGCTTGAAATGAAGTGTGCTGGGGTTAAAGCTACCAAAAAAAAAACATTTGCAAAGACATCTGAAAACAATCTGGACTATTTCACCTTTATGTGTTTCTTTTTGGCAGATAGAGAGTATTATTTTAGCATACAAACAGTATATTGCTGGATAAATACGCTACTAACATTTAATTAGCTTGTAAGTGCAAATGTATTTTAGACAGTTCTGGCTGTTAGAAAGATTTTCTCTGCTGTAAATTTCTCTTTGGTGAATTTCCTTATGTCTTTTTCGATTGGCATATTTACAAAGCACATTGGTATTTTACTTTTGCACCTTGAAATCATGAGGATTCTGAATTCTAGAATCTACTACATTAGTCCAGAACTGTTTTCCCTTGAAGGGGAGGAAAACTGAAAATGAGGGGAAAGACCAAAGACAAGACTCTCTGCTACATTAGACCATGGCCAGTATTAAGACTTGGATATTTCCAAGCTTTAAAATAGGTATGAAAATTGTTTTTATTTAAATATTTTTTATATTCAAAGTGTGAATTAATATTGAAATATTGAACCTGCAAGACAAGAAAGTCATATGCATCTCAAGATGCCAGCAATATCCTTAAAGACTGTCAGGAATAAACACACAAGAAGCATCCCAGATGTTACAGTGCAATTCAGCTGCAATTATTAAGCTTTTGGTTTAGAGTGAATTTTACACAGCACTTAACACCAACTATCATATGCCTGCAGGGACTCTGGTAACTAGAACAGATACTTCAGCTACTCAGTTCTGACGAGATGTTTCACTTCTTTGTTGTTTAGATATTGTCGCACCCCAGAATCATGTGTCCTGAAAAGTCAAATAATACAGAGTAAACCACAGGTGAGCAATCAAACAAAATAATGCATCCTGCAGAGGGAGGACAAATAAAACAGAACTATTAGATAAAATTGACTGGCTCCCGCCCAAGAAAAAACAGGAGAAAGTACGGTGTGTCTGACAACAGATGTAGTTCTGAGGCAGATGATCCAGATAATGACAAAACCCAGGAAGCGAGAAGATAATGGAGAAGCTTGTTACACAGGGGGCCTGGCTCATCCTTGCTGGCGGAGGGCAAATCATCCACTTGCTCTGATTGATCAGGCTCTTCCACCTACCCCCCCACCCCTTTGTCCCATTCCCATTCCCAGCCTGTCCGCCCACCCTGCTCCACAGCTCAGGCGTGCATCACGGGACAATCTGGGAGTCGAATCCCTTCCGCCGCTGTTGAAGGGAATGCAATCCCCAAGTCCAGACTGCACAAACCACCCCCTCCGCTGCAACTTACATCTCGCTTGTCTGCCTTTGTTTTCTTTCCTCTTCGGCTTCCGTTAGTAAGAGACTGCTTTAACAAAAAAGGACAAGGAAATCCAACCGAGAGTACAACGCTGGAAAGTGCAGAGATGGGTTACAATGCCAGGTCCGGAGAGGGGTCTTCAGCTACAGGAAGGCCGTCGTGTGTTCGGTTTGCATTCCACATGAGCCAGGCCTGCTGTCCCACCTTCAGTGTCAAGAGCTGCCCCCTCCTCACCGCATGTTCAGAGCCAAGGCCACAGTCAGGACAATCCCCAGCACAAGCACGAAGGGCAGCCAGGTTTTCAGAAAACTGACACAACTAAAAGGGTTTAAAAACATAAACCACGTCAGAATCCATACACAAACAGCTACAGGTCTAGAAGCTGTAAGCAGTTCATCACAGCCACCTATCGGAAAGGTGCTGCACAGTATAGTTGAGGATCCAAGCAGCTGAAATATGCACTCTTGTCATCACTGGCCTGTTTTAAAAAGCTTTTAAATGCTCCCTCCCTCCAGCACAGACGCTGTAACAGTTCTGGTGTGGTACACAAGGTGTAGCTTCAAAACACTGCGGTTTAGCCACAAGAATCCCTAATATTTTACCCGTGATGTCACAGGGGTTTTCCAAAGTGACCTTTAATCTCACCTGTTCCCACACGATGATCCAGAGCAGTTTCCCACATGCACAATTTAACTGACTCTGAACCCACTAAAGGTACTGGTGGCTTGGCTCTAAATGTCCACAGTGATAAATTCAAAAGACATGGTTTAAATAAAAGGCCACCTTTCATCCTGTATGCCTTTCTCATTTGTGAGCACGTTTCCTGGAATAAACAACAGTTACATAAAGAAAATCTCTTACATGTTAAAATGTCCCCATCTCCCTCAACACTGACAATTGATTTCAGAAAAAAAGGAAACTTGTTCTCACAAGCTCAGCTGAACATCTGTCCCAAGAGCCTTTTCTCTCTGTGTTTCAGAATGAACAGTGAAACACGAACCGGAGGACACAGGCAGAAACTGCGTGGAAGTGCATTAAGACCCCAGAGCAGGAGACAGTTCTTTACACAGAGGGGGCGTGGGATTAAGGAATTAACTGCCCAGGCATGTTGTTGAAGTCGATATCCGGCCTTCTTTCTAGAAAGGGCTGGATGAGATCCTTCAATCAATTTGTTAATAAGCACCAAACAAGCTAGCTGGACCGAATAGCCTCCACTCCATTGTAATTGTTCTTGTCTTCCATCTACAGGAAAAGGATAAGCTTGTTTTTTAGAATGTGGAGCAGGAACGCGAGACTGGGCTGTGACCTAACCCTATCAGAGCTGAAGATTCAGAGAGCGCTGGATAAGCCCAACTCTTCTCTAGTCTAGACTGTAGAAGCCCGATGAGAGACGTTCTCATTATTAAAAGCAGAACACAAACCCAGTTAAAAGCAGGTGGTAAAAGATATATTTTTTTGCTTTCACCCATTTTCTACACTGCTTTACCCAATTCAGGGCCACAGGGCACAGGAGCACACCCAGGCAAGCAGTGGATGCAAGGTAGGACACACACTGGATGGGACACCAGTCCATCACAGGGCAGACACACACTCACACCAGGGCCAATTAACCTACCAGTATGTCTGGGGACTCTGGGAGAAAACCCAAGTGAACAAGGGGAGAACATTTGAACTCCACACAGATAGCACCTCAGGGATTCAACCCAGGACCTCAATGCTAACCACTGTACCAACATGCTGCCCAATATTTTTACCCCAGAAGAAAATTATTTTTTTCCCCGAAAGGCAATTTTTTATTGAATGTGCTCAGACTTTGGTGCAACATGAGTTAGCTGAGAGGGGCACAGCTGCAACAGCTGCACAAAAGCACACCTAGCGTGTCCAGTGTGAATGCACCAGGGTCACAAGGTCGCTGGTATAGTACCAACAGTAGGCTGGCTGCTCCCTGGGAAACAGAGCACCTCATTCGTCATCTACCGCCTGTGACTGCAGACAGCAAAGGACACACAGGACTAATATACCAGCTTTCCCCAAGGCTGGTCTTGTTGCTCTGTATATTTTCACACGTCTCCTACCGACCTACATCCTGAAAAGACAAGGCTAACCACTTATTATTTCTTCTGACAAAAGACAACATCAAGGCTCTGTGATGAAGTGAGGATCAAACTCATTTATCCGGAGCTGCAGCATCAGTGCGCTAAAATATCTTTCCTCTAATGATTTTAAAAACAAATGAACCGAGTACCTTGGAAATACATTTATCATATTCTGATTTTCTGATGCTCATTTTAGAATTCACCTAAATAAAATAAAAAAAATGTACCATTTAACTGTCCTTCCTTGAATTCTTCCTGCTTAGCTGCTTATCAGCTGCTTAGCTACCTGAAATTACAATTTTTGTATCCACACCCTGAAATGAATTACGATGATTATAAACAAATTACTTGCAGAAGAGATGAGCTTCAGTTTGAGTCATCATTTCCCTTTAGCACTAGATAAGAGCAAAGAAACCAGAAAATATTTTGTTTTCACAGTACAAAATAAATTGATCTGAGATCGCGGTAGTTTTAAATGTAAAAACACCCGATATGGACTAAAGTTTATTAATTGAACGTTACTGTATTAAACAGATGAGCTTCTCAGCCTAACTATAACATACTATCATATCACAAGTCATCTTAATTTTTTTTGCCTTCATATAATTGATTTTGAACTTTTGCTAATTTTTATACTTCTAAAAAACAAAAACATTAAAACCAGTTCCACGTTCTTTGTGGTCTATTATAAAAATAAGGTACTTTATTATAATACGTGTTTGTAACAACTGTATTATAGGGGTTTCCTATATATATATAGGAGTGCGGAGGTATATTAAGGTTCTGGACACGTAACTGGAAGGTTGTGGGTCCAAATCCCAGGTGACACAGCAATTGTACCCTTGAGCAAAATTCTTCACCTGGAAGGTTTTATTAAATTACTCAGAATAAGCAGTACTTTTACTTTTGGATAAAAGAGTCAGTCAAATAAATATCAATACATGCAATACAAAATACAAGGGCAAAATACAAAACCTGAGAAGCAATAAAAAATGAAAGCAGGAAATGCAGTGTGCTTCTGTAATGTGCCACTGTAACAGGCGAGGCGAGCGAGGCGAGGGGGCGAGCTCCTACCTGATGTGCTTGCTGTAGATTGTGAACAGGATGCACAGCTTCACCATGTTCCAGGAGGTGCTGTTGTCATAGCGCATTAGGTTCAGGGCCATGGCCACGTGTGAATGGCAGTTGTCACAGCACAGGTTATGCTGGAAATGAAAGACAAGGGAGATTCATGATCGTGGGAGGAGCAGCTACAGCTACACTGCAGTGGTTTGAGCTGGTGAAAAGATGATGCGTGACTAAAACTAAAAAAACAGAGCTTTTTAAAACTGAACCTAATCTTTTTCAAATCTTAAAGTCTTCCCAAACGTGAGATGTATTATTTTTTCTACAGTCTACAAGAATGCAGACCGGTCTGAAAACATTTTACTCAGAATCCTGATAACTGGGTTCCATCTTTAAGTAGCCTTCAATTTTGAGCGACTTTTTTTTTTTCCGCTTTAAA